TACAATTTAGTTCCGAGAAGTCCCGGAGGCCGGGAAAAAGGTGGATAGAGGTGGGTGGAGGAGTGGAGGCCAGCTGTCATTGGTGGGCGGGGCATGACCAAAGTGGGCGGAGTTTGCGACGAAAATTCATAACTCGGTTCCAAGAAGTCCCGGAGACCGGGAAAAAGGTGGATAGAGGTGAAGGTCATCGGTGGGCGGGGCTGACCAAAGTGGGCGGAGTTTGCGACGAAAATTCATAACTCGGCTCCAAGAAGTCCCGGAGGCCGGGAAAAAGGTGGATAGAGGTGGGTGGAGGAGTGGAGGTCAACTGCTATTGGTGGGTAGGGCGTGCACCAAAGTGGGCGGAGTTTGCTTACAATTTAGTTCCGAGAAGTCCAGGAGACCGGGAAAAGAGTGGGTCGAGTCCGACAACGCACGGGAGGACAGCTGCTATTGGTGGGTAGAGCGTACACCAAAGTGGGCGGAGTTTGCGACGGAAATTCATAACTCGGTTCCAAGAAGTCCCGGAGACCGGGAAAAAGGTGGATAGAGGTGGGTGAAGGAGTGAAGCCCAACTGTTGTTGGTGGGCGGGGCATGCCTGCTCGGGCAACGGCAGCACACTGAAATGCATTGGTCCCAGCTATAAAAGGGGTTGCGGAGTGGGGAATCGGTCACAATCAGAATGTTATTCGCTCTCGTAGCGCTAACTATCCTTCTGGTGAGCGTCGACGCTAGGGGTAAGTGCGGCTTATGCACTGCAGTGACACTCGAAGTCGCTGTACCATACAAGTTTTTGCTTGTGCCCTTCAAAACCAGTGCTTGTTTCAGGGGTAGAAAAAAGAAACTCTCCGGCAGGAGAAAAATGCCTCTCGCCCGAAGCTCTGAAAAAAGTGATTGTCGACCTTTTCACGAACATCTATGGCTCTTATTTTGTAAGTTTTATCAATATATTTACATGGCTGGAAAGCAAAAGGCGCGATATAAGTGACTGCCTATGATAAAGGTGGAGTTTACAATTAGAAGGCAGCCTGTTGGAATCAAGGTAGAGGTGGTCAGTGAGGCCGGGATGAAGAAAAAAATGTGAAACGGCCCAAAACCCGAGAAATGGGACCCCTTCCTTGCCCGTTGATTTCCGCATTGATGCGACTCTCATCGTTGTGCCCTCTTCAACGCTAACGCTCTCTCTCTCTGCTATCTAATTCACCGCGTATAGACCTGCGGCGAGTGATTAGATATTCGGCAGGCGTGTCGCGTCGATAAGGACGTTAGGACGGCTACGCTATATCGCCGAGAGTCTATCCATGGCTGCGAGTTACGTGTTAGCCCGCACCCTTAGAGAATCCGCCTATTTTCCCACTGCTCCACTTCTTAGACCATCAACCTTACCGCATGATCCTCCTCTAATTCTCCGGTCTGGATTGCGACCGTAACCCCGCCGAGATCAACCGACCGCCCACGTCTACACTGCGACGCATACTTATAGTTCCACTATAAATTTCCCAAAAATTTGTATATGAAGATGTTTTCGAAAAAGGTTCCAGTGAGGAATGTGAGGCATATAAACGCTGTTCTGAATATCAATACAGAATTCCAGTTTGAGGAAGCAACAATTTTTTATTTTCATTTTTCTGAAAATACTCGCTCTGCCAATGGCGCAAAATTATAGTTCCACCACATGTTTCTCTCCGCTGCACTTTATTTTTATCTCATTCAAATTTTTAGATTATCATCCCTATAGGTCACATAGTTCACTGCAAAACTTGTGCGGCCAATTTCGTCGGAATTGCCTAGTTAAATCAATATTGTAAGGGACACCGATTGATATTCGACCGAGATGAGCGTCATATCATAAGGAAATAATACAACCTAATCAAGCCGGGTGCGGAAATCGAAACTTTTTTAAACCAAAAAAAACTTTTTCGAAATCATTTTAAAAACAAAACTTTTTTTAAAGATAATTTCCAATGGATGCAGTTCAACGTGTCTCCCCAAACCCTCATTGTAGTCCAT